CGGCATCGTGTAGCCCGCCGGCCTGGCCCTGCGCCCAGCCCTGCAGCCGCACTCCGGCCTCCGGCCTCCTCTTGCAAATAAAGCTGCTGCCGCTTCGCGCTGTGTCGCTGGGTCGCTGCGTCTGTGGTCTGTACCGAGTCTGGGCCCGCAGGGGCAGCGGGGAGGGCGGAGCGCCAGGGGAAGGAAGGACGGAAGGACGGGGACGGGACGGACCGCTGGGGGGCAGGAGAGAACGGGCTGGGGACTGGGAGGAGGAGGAGCCCTGGGCACGAGGGCCTGGCGGCTGCCCTCCTTTCTCCTCTGAGGACTTTGTTTTCGCGTGATGTCAGACTTACAGAAAAGCTGCAGACTTCGGACTCCCCGGTATTCACACTTCCCCCATTCACTTTGTCCTTCCTTCTCTCTTTGCTTTTCACAATAGGGCATGTGCACTGGCCGGAGAGGCAGAAGGACAGTGAGAAGCACGCTGGGGTGCGGTGGCTGCAAGCCCATCGCCTCCGTGCCCTGCCGGGAATCTTAGGCACACGCTCACACGTGCCCAGTGCTTTTCAGTCTTGGCCATGCGGGATCCAGCTACTTTAACCTCCATGCCACCTGCTGACCTGTCCTTTCCGTGTGTTGTCTTCTCTTTCCTTTCGTTAAAAAAAAAAAGAGAGTTTATTTTTTCCTATGAATGAGAAAGAGACAGCATCCAACAAAGGCCCGACAGCGAGACCCAGCCAGCCTCCGGCCCCCCACCCGTGGGCACACGCGTGTTCAGAGAACTTACTAGCTCTCCCATGTGGGATCTGCCTGTGAGCTTCGTGTTTGACCACCGTGCCGCCATCTGACCCCACCCTTTTATTTTTGGCACTAAATTGCAGACCCGATGCCCCTTTGCTCCTAAACACTTCAGTGTGTCTCCTGAAAACAGGATATTTTCTTACATAAGCCCAGAGCGGCCAGCAGAGACAGGAAATTAACTTCGTGGCGTTCCCAGGGGAGTTTCTTACATAAGCCCGGTGCGGCCCCCAGACAGTGCTAGGCCACTGCTGTCAGTCACAGCCCTCCGTCCAATCCCAGGCTCTCCCAGAGGACTCCACTCCCAGCCCAGGGAGTCCGCCATCTCCCGCCCCTCCTCCCATGGACTCCTGCCGTGCTGGGCGGGGACTCCCTCCTCACCCCCTGGGAGCCAGCCCAGGAGCCAGAGGGACACTCAACGCTGCCTGACCAGTGCGTCCCTTCCTTCACCTTCTCCATGGACAGACGGTCTGCGTCGCCCTGGCAGTACTGACCGCTGAGCCCACCGCGCTCGGGGGCTGTGAGCAGGCCACGTCCATGTCTGATCTGCCCACCCAGGACGAGTGCTGCGGTCATCTTACAGGAGAGGTTGAAGCTCAGGGAAGGTTGGGGCTCCCTGGTCACGAGCCAGGACTGCACCCACGGGTGACCGGGCTGACTCCGGAG